TGAATCGGAAGAAAGAAAAAGATCAAAAGAGGATAAAGTGTTTTTAATGACGAGTGTGAGAGATCTGATGACCCAAGAAGGAGCAGCAGTAGCGTGCGCGAAGCGGAGAGACGCTCTCTGTTTCGTTCGATTTATGATACAGCAGATTTCAGTGCCAGCACTGACCACTTGTGTCAAGATGCTAAGAGAAGGCGATGAACGAGCAAAAGCCTTGCTCTTGCTAGCAATTTTGGATATATATCAGAGTAAACCAATGCGAGTAAACATGAAAGAACCCGTGGAACTAGAACCGATGAAGAAAATCGACGAAATGAGGAGGTTCTCAAACAAGGAACTGAGGCTATTGAAGAAATCTATGGGAGCACTACCAAAATCCAGCGAATACTGTGGACCAATCAGAAAGTAATCGTACAGTTAAGTATCCGGAATCATAGGGATAGCGTACAACCCTTTCATAAACGAAGATATACGCGATTGCTTCTTCAATTACCAGCAACCTGTGTTGCTAAAATTCTGGACGTCAAGGATTGCAACGATAAGAAGCGCTGCTAATCAGCAGGCCAAGCTGGGACTAGTCTTGGAGGAAAAGGTGATTGCACCTTCAGTGCCAAAATCGGACAACCGAGTGGAGTTTGGATTGGGATTCTCAGACGAACTGCTGAGAACGAGGTTGATGGTATTGTGGGAACTGATGAAACCATCATGGTGTCCTAGTCCCAATGCCGATTCGATATTACGAGCGACACAAGAGTTCAGACTGTAACTTGCGTGACCTGATTATCATCTATAATCTGATGACAACAGCCTCTAAGAGCACTGGAGAAGACAAGGTGGAGTAGCCTGGCTCGGAACCAGAGGACTGGGTCAAACCTGGCAGCTGTCTGGCAGAAGTCTGTGGACTAGAAGGTCACATCTGTGGAGGTCTGGACTGCGTAAAGACCCTGGAGAGGCAACACAAGCAATTGATGATATTGTTTGGGAACATTGTGATGAAGGCGAAAACAGAACTGGAACTGATTGCAGATTGCCATGGAGGAACCGAGGTGAGTCTAGTGACTGCACTAGGATTCTACAGCATGTTTGGTTCTTTAGAGTCACTATTGAATCTAGAACAGAAGCATGAGATGGTCACGGTCATCAGTGTAGAAGTGTACCCAGGAGTTTTGCAGATTGAGCAAAAGCATATAGGAAAATGGAGGGAAGCGATCGAGGCGGAAATGAACATCCGGCACAGTGAAACTTATCGCAGATACCCAGTGCATTTCGTAGCCATGGATGTAAAGAGTACAAGAAAGATCGTGGATCAGGCTTTCTCAGTGCCGAAATGCGTAAGACTAGCAAGAATGTCAGAAAAAGCTTACGAGTTACTGTGCAAAAAGTTCTCAGCAGTTCCGGAGAGAACCAAAGAGGAATTAGAATCGATACTGGGAAGGAAGCTCATGGGATACGCCAGTGGGAACTTCAGTGACTTCGAAAGACATAAGCAGAAAGGATCAACAGTCACAGATTACAATGCTGTAGATGAGAATGATGAAGTCAACCGAGTGATGATTGAAGTGGAACCTCTAGTTGAAGCTTCGGTAAAACGTAATTGGAGGAGCATCATGACGACACATGATGAGTTCTCCTGCAATTGCTTACTGCAAACATGGTGATACCCCGGGTGTAGTAATCTGGCGTTGATCTGGGACTGTGGAGAGCTGCTCTCCATGGGTTATACAGACTCATCACAGCCCAAAACGATAGTGATAGTAGGAGTTATGATGGCGATACGATGGCTGGAAGCTCATGTAAAGGAGAACAATAGACAAGAGACGCCGACGAGAGAACAGTTACAGGAATTGGATTCTCTAAAAGACTTAGATCTTTTTGAGACAACATGCAAGATCTTGAACATTCCGATGGAAGTGAAAAAGATATGGGCCAGAAGACGACTGATGCCATGGTTTAGAGTCAACATGACCGCATGGTTGTACGAGTATGCCAAAAAGCATATGTCGAAGCACAGCAGAGTGTACAGTGTGTATCAGCTGGACGTTGGAGCAGGAGCTTTTAAGCGAGCTTTTGCAACTCATCGAAATACAGTGACCACCGCCGTGAAGAGAAGTTCTAGAACAAGTGAATGTGACGGAAGGGAAAAGGAAGAGATGTTGAAGGAAGACTTGGAGAGGAACGTGACGTTGTGCCTCCACAACAGCTTCTGCTGAAACAGAGAATCTAACGTTGACCCTCTACCTTGTTGTAAGCAAAGGGTAGAAGAGCAGAAGTGTTGGAGGACTGCTTCCAACATCGTCAGAATAGCTACCGACGTGTTGCAAGACACAGAGACTGAAAGTGCGGAGACAATGTCGCAGGAGGAGCATTGAAAAATGGCCGAAAAACAAGATGCAAAAAGAAAGAAAATTAGAAGAATTTAGAAGTTTTAGAACTTCTAAACGACGAACAAAGGAAGAAACAAAGAAGCGACAAAAAAGAAGATTTTAAAACTCTGAATTGTTTTTTATGTGACGAAAAACTCGATAGGGAAACAAAGCAACTTAGTTTGCCATTGAAACTGAAATGAAAACATTTAGTTGAGTTTTGAAGATTAAAGAATCTGTTGCAATTCTAAATTTGCATTATGATTTTAGTTAGTTGCTTTAGAGACACTCACCATTTATTTAGAAAGGCTTGAGCGAAGAGTATATATAAATATTCTAGCCTGCATGACTGTTTTTAATCAACTAGGATGACTGATCACTTTGTGATGACATGAAAGGCTTGGGTAATCTCTTGAAAAAGGAGATTATTTCATTGTTCCTTCTAACCACAGAGTTCCTTAATTTTAATATTCAGGACCAATAACAACTAATTTTTCGAGGGGAAGAAGCTTATTAGGATAATTTTAGTTTGTGGGTTGGCAGGACTGTCTTGCGTTCCTACACTTTTTAAACCTAGGAGAAAAATTTTAAATCGAGACATAGACGTTGGAAGTCTAAAAAGATGTTTTATCTTAAGTCATATCCTTGAAAGTGCAGATTAGTGGGAGAAGTTGGAAGACTATAGTGATGTAGTATGACGCCATTTATATTCTGCAGTGAGTCGATGTGACGTGGATAAAAGTGATTTCGTGCATTTTGTAAATTCTGTTCGATGACACTGTGCCATTTTGATGAAAACTGCGAGACTCAATGAGGACATTGACCGAGCTGCCCGGGGAGTATGTGAAATTTGATCAGAATGGACAAAAATGCAGATTCAAATTCGTAGCAGCTAACCTTGAAAATTAACGGTTTTAGCAGATTAGCGACCTTATTTGAACGATTAGACAAACTGTGAAGGTCAAAATATTCTGGTATTTTGAATTTTTAAAATTTGGAATGATGACGTCTTATTTCTGAGAAATGCTGAAACGGCCATTCTGGAGAAAAAACAGAAGAAAACACAACAGCAATATTTGCCGTAGAAATAACAACGAAGGAAATAGCGAATCAGAAAACAGAGAATTCAGATTATCAGAGACCGCTCCAAGTTGTAACGATTGGATCGCTACAGTTGTTACAGAGCGATTCACGCAAACGGTGAAGGGTGTTGGGACAGCGTGTGTCCAGCCTTCTGGAAAGGAAAAAAAGACGTTATTTCCCCGGATTCAGGAATCCGGAGGAGTCGCGGGCGGAGAACTCAAATTATTTACCTAAATTTTTAGCTTCCTGGTTATGTCCTGAAATGAATTTAATTAACATCCAGATTCATTTTCAGATATTGAGAAGCTAGGAGTTGAGGGAAAGGGTTGATCCATCTCCGATGGAGATGATGATTTTTATCTACTGAACAAAAACAATAGTAATATAATAAATAGTAGTAGCCCTGTTTTAAGGAGTGACCTCGTGGTCTGGGGATACTATGAACCAGCCATGAGCTCATTTTTCTTGCATATAATTAAGTTACTTTGAGTGCATTTACCGAAGCCGAAAGCAGTATCGTTTTTGTCGACCCGATGTTAGAAAGACCACCGAAAGAACTGGCTTTAGTAGAGACGGTGAGAAGCACTTCCGGGCGAATGTTACACGACTTTTGATTAGCTTTCGTGTACATGCGAAAATGACCACAAAACTGGGTCTCGGATCCCCAGACTACGTGATTGCTTTTAAAAACACGGCTCGAATCTAATATTTTACTATGTTTTTAGTGAGAGCTATATACTTTATCCATTGGAGATGGACTGACCCTTTCCTCTTTCTAGCTACTCATGCTCTGAAATACTAAACAATACTGGAGTTAATTCAAATGTTCAGGGCATTAAAGCGGCTAAAAAGTCAGTTATATAGTCTCTCAGCATTTAAGGGTCTCTGGGCACCGGGCCCCCAATTCCGTACTCTTCCGGATATTACGTCGTTATCTCTCTAACTTCGCGGTACGGGAGGGAACTGATCCGCTCCGGATGTCCCACTGAACTTTCCTTTCGTGTGTTCTCTTTGAATAAGCGTCTTATCGTGTCTTGTTATCACGATAAGAGGCTTCGTTGTTCTCTGTCGATCTTCAACTGTTCTCGCGACTAATTCTCGTCTTGTCTATCCGGTTGCCTAATTCGACTGTGTAATTCGACTGTTTTTCTGCCAAATATGGCCGTTTTTCTTAATTTCTCAGAAATGTTCCATCGCAATTCGAATTTTTAAAAATTGAAATTCTAGAACATTCCGACCCTCCTTTTTATAACGAGTTCGCAATTAACGTCACTGATGTTCTTTTATTGCTCGTCGGAGGGTTAGGCTGTGTCAATCCGGCGGAATGGCACACAAGGGAAACCACCAAGAGTTTGAAAAAGTCCAACACTATGAAACAACATGGATATTAGGATCGAACATCAATTTCCGTGATCTTTTTAGTCCAACAGTATGCAACAAAATGGATATTAGGATCGAACATCAATTACCGTTATTTTTACTGTTTTTACCAAAGTAAAACAACTGTAAGAATTAAATATAATAGGTAAATGGCAGTGAAGTCAATCGTTAAGTTTTAGTTAGTTATGGTGAGTTATCAATGATCTTGACTATGATAATGAGGCCAAACATTCTCTTACTGGTTCAAATTTGACTGCCTTATGGATCGAAGTCCCTGTCAATTAGAAGGAGCGCCCAACTTAGCATCGGAAACCGGTGGACTTCAAAGTCTTCTGCGCCTTGCTGAGAATTCCAGCGAAGCAAAAGATTTCGGGAAGGTGAGAAAATATTCTTTAGCGACACAACGTTTTGACATTTTGTGAGCACCGAAGTCTACTAATTTTTGGAGATAAACGATTAGCAAATGTGTTGTACCATTTGCTTAAAGATTTTTGATTGGAAAAAATGATAGGTAGACCTCCAGGTATTTCGCAGTGCGTAATTTTAGAAGGCCGAAAAAATGTCGGTCGGTGGTTTTCATGTGTCGCTCTGGTATTTAACAATTATTTTGTTTTAGGCTTTAGAAATTTATACGCATTGTATCGAGTTATGCGGTTCCAAAGAGGAGAAATATGTCTTGTATAGCTATCGTTCGCGAGTATACTTAGAGATAGGAAACTTCGATTCCTCACTGGAAGACGCAAACAATGCATTAGAAGGAAACTGCGGCCTGGTCCTAGTAAGTATTCTGAAACTTACAACCGTTTTTAAAGTATGATATAATTACACTTGCGATAGCAAGTGTCTTGCAATCGGAAACAAGACTTTTCCCGTATACAACTTTTTTAACAAGAAATTTTATTAAATGTAAATTACAAAAGGGGCCTTTCGTTTAGTTACGGTCAGTGCACAAGCTGGATAGGGCCATACCAGCGTTATATACATCAGCAAACTATCATTGTATCAATAAGTGTATCAATTTCTAACAATAAATTGAGCTTGCTTATTTATGAAACATATCAAGTTTCATGTTTAAGGCCTGGAGGTAACGCAGTTTCATTTAAAAAAAGAATAATTCTCGGAAATGTGAAAGTTTGATTGCATGACTTTTTTTATCTGAAGTGCTAGCGTTTTTCTTTATGCTAGTGTCATAGTAGTTGCACGTAGTGTTCATTGCAGCTTCATGCCAAACAAGACTCTTTTTGATAATAACAGGTATTAAGAGTTCATGGGAACTTTTGTTTTTTATGAGACGATTTTGATTTTTTTCAATTTATGCAAAAGTTTTACCTTTTCACGAAAAATGTCAATGGAAAGACCGCCTTCTTATTCTAGTGCTTGCATACTCAACTAGTCTATTTACACTTTACCCCACTGTCTACATTATTTGACTCCTGCTGTTGGTTTCTTTCGTTTTCTCAAAAACTGCCCTCAAAAATTTGATATTTGGGTTTTAATGGATTGAGCGGGCGTTGACAAGCTTATGATTCTCAAAAATGTCCAATTTGTGATTTTTGACCATTTCTTGTATCGTAAATTGCAGTGCTTAAGAAACATTCCAGTGGAAGTTAGGGGGAAGGGTGGAAGAGAAGGGTGGCGCAAGGCAGACTAGGGAGCGAAAGGCAAGAAACGACGAGCATATGGCATGTCGGGGGGGCAGGATACTCTTCACATTTAACACCACGGTCTACATAATTTTACCCATGTTTTTGGATTCTTTTCATTCTCTCAGAAACAACCTTCAAAATTCCGAAATTTTATCGTTTTTTCAGACATACCCTATCAAACCTGAAACTTTGAGCTGAATCGAAATAATAGGTTGCGTGAATTTTTTGTGCATGAGCGGCTGCGTTTTTTCGAAAGATTACGATTCTCGGAAATGTCAAAATTTTGGTTCGAATGACCGTTTTTTTCGAAACTGAATTTTTCTTTAACTATCCTGCCATTTTTTGTATAGTATGTTGCATTGCCTAAGAATTATTTCAGCGCAAGGCAGGACGGGGAGCAGCAATGCAGGGCAAGCAGCGGAAGGGTAGGGCTGCACAAGGCAGACTAGAGAGCGATAGGCAGGGTAAAACGAGGAGCTCAGGGCATGTCGAGGAGCGGCAGGGTAGTTTCTTTACACTTCACCCCACTGTCTTTTTTGCTTGACTCATGTTTTTAGATGCTTTCCGTTTTCTCAAAAACTACCCTCAAAAATCTGAGATTTTATCGTTTTTTGACGTACCCTCTCAAATCTGAAACTTTGGGCTGAATCAAAATTATATGTTGCCTGAGTTTTTTTTGTGCATGAGCGGCTGCGGCCGTTTTTTCAAAAAAAGTTATGATTCTCGGAAATGTCAAAATTTTGATTGAATGACCGTTTTTGTAACCTGAGTTTTCTCGGTAACTATAGCGCCATTTTTTGTTTTGTATTTTGCAGTGCCGAAGAAAGATTTCAGTGGAAGGTAGGGCGAAGAGCGGCAAGGCGATGAGTGAATAGGTAGGGTGGCCTAAGACAGGCGAGGGAGCAAAAGACAGGGCAGGACGAGCTTGGGGCATGTCGAGGAGGGGGCAGGATATTCTCCTTACATTTAAAACTACGGTCTATATTATTTGACCCATGTTTTTGGTTTTTTTCTCGAAAACTACCCACAAAAATCCGAGATTTAACCGTTTTTTTAGACGTACCCTCTCAAATTTGAAATTTTGGGCTGAATCGAAAACATAGGTTGCGTGAGTTTTTTGTGCATGAGCGGCTGCGGCCAATTTTTTTCAATAGTATTTGATTCTCGGAAATGTCAAAATTTTGATTGAAGGACCGTGTTTTGGAAACTGAATTTTTCTCGATAACTATGCTGCCATTTTTAATATTGTTTGATGCAGTGCTTGAGAAACATTTCAGTGGAAGGTAGGGCGAGGAGAGAAAAGATAGGGCTGCGCAAGGCAGGCTAGAGAGCAAAAGGTGGGGCAGGATGGGTACAAAGGGCGTGTCGAAGAGGGGCAGGGTACTCTCTTCACAATCAAAAGCACTGTCATATTATTTGACCTATGTTTTTTGGTTTTTCGTTTTCTACCTACGAAAATCTGAGATTTATACGGTTTTTGAGACGTACCCTGTCAAACCTGAAACTTTGGGCTGAATCGAAAACATAGGTTGCGTGAGTTTTTTGTGCATGAGCGGCTGCGGCTAACTTTTTTCAAAAGTATACGATTCTCAGAAATGTCAAAGTTTTGACTTAATGACCGTTATTTGGAAGCTGAATTTTCCTCTAACTATCCGGGCATTTTTTGTATTGTATTTTGCATTGGTTAAGAAACTTTTCAGCGGAAGGCAGGACGGGGAGCAGCAATGCAGGGCAAGCAGCGGAAGGGTAGGGTTCCGCAAGGCAGACTAGAGAGCGATTGGCAGGGTAAAACGAGGAGCGTAGGGCATGTCGAGGAGTGGCAGGGTAGTTTCTTTACACTTTACCCCACTGTCTTTTTTGCTGGACTCATGTTTTTAGATGCTATCCGTTTTCTCAAAAAATACCCTCGAAAATCTGAGATTTTAGCGTTTTTTGAGACGTGCCCTCTCAAACCTGAAACTTGGGCTGAATCAAAATTACAGCTTGCGTGATTTTTTTTGTGCATGAGCGGCTGCGTCCGTTTAAAAAAAATAATGATTCTGGGAAATGTGAAAGTTTTGATTGCATGACAGTTTTTTTTCTGAAAACTGATTTTTTGTCGATAACTTTTCTGCCACTGTTTGTATCGTATATTGCAGTGCTTAAGAAACTTTTCATCGGAAGCCAGGGCGAGGAGAGGAAGGGTTTGGTGGCGCAAGGCAGGCTAGGGAGCGAAAGGCAGGGCAGGATGGGCATAGGGCATATCGAGGAAGGGCAGGGTAGTTTTTTTACGCTTAACACCACTACAATATTTGACTCATGTTTCTGGATTGTTTTTTTTTCTCAAAAACGACCTTCCTTCGAGAATCTGAGTTTTGACCCAATTTGTGAGACCTACCCTTTCAAACCTGAAACTTCGGGCGATGATTCTCGGTAATGTCAAATTTTTGATAGAATGACTTTTTTTTTGGAAACTGACTTTTTTAACTATTCTGCCACTTTTTGTATCGTATATTGCAGTGCTTAAGTAACTTTAAGTAACTTTTCATCGGAAGCCAGGGCGAGGAGAGGAAGGGTTTGGTGGCGCAAGGCAAGCTAGGGAGCGAAAGGCAGGGCAGGACGAGGAGCATTGGGCATTTTGAGGAGGGGCAGGGCAGTTTCTTCAAACTTTACCTCACTGTCTTTTTTGCTGGACTCATGTTTTTAGATGCTTTCTGTTTTCTCAAAAACTACCCTCGAAAATCTGAGATTTGACAGTTTTTTGAGATCTACCCTCTCAAACCTGAAACTTTAGGCTGAATCAAAATTACAGCTTGCATAATTTTTTTTGTGCATGAGCCGCTGCGTCCATTTGAAAAAAAAAGAATAATTCTCGGAAATGTGAAAGTTTCATTGCATGACTTTTTTTTATCTGAAGTGCTAGTGTTTTTCTTTATGCTAGTGTCATTGCTACTCTTTTTGATAATAACAGGTATTAAGAGTTCATGGGATTGGGTCTTTTGTTTTTTTTGAGACGATTTTGATTTTTTTTCAATTTATGCAAAAGTTTTACCTTTTCACGAAAAATGCCAATGGAAAGACCGCCTTCTTATTCTAGTGCTTGCATACTCAACTAGTCTATTTACACTTTACCCCACTGTCTACATTATTTGACTCCTGCTGTTGGATTCTTTCGTTTTCTCAAAAACTACCCTCAAAAATTTGATATTTGGGTTTTAATGGGTTGAGCGGGCGTTGACAAGCTTATGATTTTCAAAAATGTCCAATTTGTAATTTTTGACCATTTCTTGTATCGTAAATTGCAGTGCTTAAGAAACATTCCAGTGGAAGTTAGGGGGAAGGGTGGAAGAGAAGGGTGGCGCAAGGCAGACTAGGGAGCGAAAGGCAAGAAACGACGAGCATATGGCATGTCGAGGGGCAGGGTACTCTTCACATTCAACACCACGGTCTTTAATTTTTTACCCATGTTTTTGGATTCTTTTCATTCTCTCAGAAACAACCTTCAAAATTCCGAAATCTTATCGTTGTCTCAGACATACCCTATCAAACCTGAAACTTTGAGCTGAATCGAAATAATAGGTTGCGTGATTTTTTTGTGCATGAGCGGCTGCATTTTTTTCAAAAGATTACTATTCTCGGAAATGTCAAAATTTTGGTTCGAATGACCGTTTTTTTGGAAACTGACTTTTTCACTAACTATCCTGCCATTTTTTGTATCGTATGTTGCATTGCCTAAGAATTATTTCAGCGCAAGGCAGGATGGGGAGCAGCAATGCAGGGCAAGCAGCGGAAGGGTAGGGCTGCGCAAGGCAGACTAGAGAGCGATAGGCAGGGTAAAACGAGGAGCTCAGGGCATGTCGAGGAGCGGCAGGGTAGTTTCTTTACACTTCACCCCACTGTCTTTTTTGCTTGACTCATGTTCTTAGATGCTTTCCGTTTTCTCAAAAACTACCCTCAAAAATCTGAGATTTTATCGTTTTTTGACGTACCCTCTCAAATCTAAAACTTTGGGTTGAATCAAAATTATATGTTGTCTGAGTTTTTTTTTGCATGAGCGGCTGCGGCCGTTTTTTCAAAAAAAGTTATGATTCTCGGAAATGTCAAAATTTTGATTGAATGACCGTTTTTGGAAACTGAGTTTTCTCGGTAACTA